GTAAACACGTTTAAATGAAACTAATACATATGTCACATGACGACACAAATCCATCTTGAGAGCTGAGTCTCAGCCTTCCTCTGAGGAGGATTCACCGATAAAAAAAATTTTGGAGAGGAAAATCGCATAGTGGGGAGACAGGCGGACGTCCTGAGGGTGCGGGTTGACACGTGAAAGGCAGCGAAAGATCTGACCTCGGCGATCTAGCATGGCTCACTCTTGGCGCAGTTGACGGGGCACGCCCACCGACCATCTAATCCTGACCATGTCCATAATCGCGACTGACTTAGATAGCAGAAATAGCAATTAGCACCAGAAGGGTGCAATGATGCAAATCATCAATGCGGAACTTGTGGGCCATAAAGGAAGACGGTCCCGTTTCTCTGTTCTGGGACGTTCTCGATGGTTTATTCCATCAATATCTCATCGTATCAAATTTAAATAGCCGTTCTCTTCGAAGATTGCTCCCGCGACGCCGCAGAAAAGCCCGCATGCGGCGGCGCGACGATCGGACGATTCTGTTGACCGATCCCCCGTTTTTCCTTCTTTCTTTTTCCACTCACCATCCTTAACTTAATTCTGAATTGTTGCTTTCTCACTTAAAGGACGAATTCACGATGAAAAAGCAACCCATTTCAAATTAACCTAGGGATGGTGAGTGGTACACGAAAGAAGGAAGAACCATGAGAAACGGCCCAGAACCCGAGAAATGGTACCCCTTCCTTGCCCGTTGATTCGAGCATTGATGCGACTCTCATCGCTGTGCCCTCTTCAACACTACGCTCTCTCAGCTATCTAATCACTCGCCACGTATTGAACTACGGCGAGTGATCAGATGATCGGTGGGCGGAGATCGCCGGACCCGCCAGCTTTGAGGCATGATAGGTCGCCGAGGTCAAATTTTTCCATGCGAATTGCGCGTCAGTTCGCACCCTCAGGAGGTCCGTGGGTCCCTCAACTAGGTCAGTTTCCCTTTCTTCGACCTTCATTCTAATCGTGAGTTCTCTTAACCCGTGCCGTTAATATCTGGTAAGCATTCCTCCTAATGAAGCATGAGGGTTTCTTCTGCTGTGACTATATACTAGGTCGAAATACTTGCTTTTCTCTGGAAGTGTTTGTACAAGTCTAGGAAGTATTAATTAGTCAATACGATGCTTCGCTCCTTATTTATCGCTGTAAGGAAGCGGAAGCGAGTGGAGCGAAAGGCACGATAAAGCACATCAAAGGTGAGGATACCTCGTTTCAATTGACTTGTCTTAGTGAGATAGAACCTGTGCGATAACCTCTTCTTACCCATCACCCTTTGTCCCACATTGTAGCGGGGTCCGCTTTTCTGGTATATTGACACCGCTTTCCCGGATTCAGTGCTTGGTTGGGATGGAGGCCAACTAATTTCAGGTTCTCATGCAACGTGTCGAAGCCAGCTTCGTTGCTTCGGGCGTCCTTTAGGCCGTTTTCCGGGCACGTCAATTTCGAGGGCGGTCTTCACGAACACTGCCATCATTTGCGCGAAAGGGACAAGCTCAGCTCGAAGCGTATGCTTCCAACTTAGAATTGAAGAGCGCATTTCATTTCATAAGAAAATCTTCATAGTGGCCATCTACGTGGACGGCATCAGAAAATTTGCCCGGAAACATGGTGCTCTGGTCGAGCTCAATGGGGTTCTCGACTGATCGTGTACCGTTACGACGGGTTCCGAAGGGCGGGTTCCGAGGGGGTTTGCATAGTTAGAGCTAATGTCCCTAGGAAACTATCCCACGTTGAATCGATCCAAGAAATTATGTAAGAGCTTCAGGCTGAAGCAGTTACTGTAGGCCTCCCTGAGCTCGACGACGGTGACAGATGACGTCATATTCTGAAGACGGTGAGGGCAGTGAAGGAGGGCCTGCGTGTACTTATAGAGGGACATTTAGGAATATTTTGCTGAGGAACTTCCGTCAACGACGGCAATCTCTGCGAAGAAAAAAGGCCGAAGTGCGACCTGGGCAAAATGTCTTTTTTTCCCCCCCCCCCTTGTAGCTAGACAAGGAGGGTTGGGGAACATTGAACGCGTGATAGTAGAAACTTACTGTGTAATAAGAATGAGGCCACCAGCAACTGCAACATCTGAGACAGTCGACGAGCGTTTCGGCTGCGTTCCTGTTCGAACAGATGAATACAAAAAAACATCGCCGGTTTTCATCTCTCGGTATGTTATGCTCTAACAGGAATCAGGTCATTTACGAGAGTTGACCCACTTTCTCGAATCACCAAAAGAGAATTAGTGGTGAAACTAGGGGCATGACATATGGAAGCCTCTTTGTCATTGTCATTACTAAATGAGAGAAAATCTAGGCGGAAGTGGTGTAGTGGCAAGTGGCACAATTACCACGTGGATCAAATCCTGAGTCGTGAGTCGGCCGGGCTAACCAAGCCTTTCATTTCTTCGGGGTCGGTTAATTGGTACCAGACTTGTCAGGAAGGATTAAATCCCGACTTTTATGGGCTGGCCCCGCAAGTCTTGTATAGGCGTACAGAATTCACTGCCATACCTGTTTCAATGGAAGTAGAATGCTGTGCGGCCAAGAAGGGATTCATCGACGCAGAGCTCTTCTTTATTTGTTACTGTTGCGAGTACAGGAGGATTTGCGATTAGATGAAGTCGCAGAAGTGAACTGACCCAGTGGGGACCGGAATCCTTTGAGGGTGCGAATGACGCGCAGATGTTCGACTATGGAAAAATTAGCTCGGGCGACCATCATGTTCAGCTGCGGGGTCCGGCGTTCTCCGCCGGTATCTGATCCTCGCCGTGTTCATAGTGGAGTGATTAGATAGCTGAGAGCGTAGTGTTGAAGAGGGCACAGCGATGAGAGTCGCATCAATGCTCGAATCAACGGGCAAGGAAGGGGTACCATTTCTCGGGTTCTGGGCCGTTTCTCATGGTTCTTCCTTCTTTCGTGTACCACTCACCATCCCTAGGTTAATTTGAAATGGGTTGCTTTTTCATCGTGAATTCGTCCTTTAAGCAACGCGTAAGGCCGCATGGGCGAAACTTTCCGTTAGGAACTCTGGGGTTAGCGATCGTGGATGGATTATTGTAGGAATTGTAAGGTGCTCACCCAATGTTCTCCGTTAGCGTAAAGTTGGCGGTTAAGGTCGCCTAATTCCTTTGGGGGCGCAACGCAATACGGGCTGTCAGCATCGACCCCCCCATTGCACGCTTCCCAGCATGCGATTTTCGGTGCCTCTCTCGAAGGGTGATGTCTTCACGTTTGCCTTTCTGTCGCCGCCTGCTTTTGCTGTCGTTTCGCATCCAAATCCTTTTGGGGGAAGGCTGGGGCCTAATTCAGCGTTCAACCGATTTTTCTAGGTTTTCGGTTGCACTTTCAGGCCGTCCGAGGATCGTCTCTGCCGGGCGTACTATACCTTCTTTATCCGGAGTTTGCCTTCAATGGGTGGAACGGAGTAACAAATGGCGTGAAACTATTCACTCACGTTCGTACAAAACTAGGTAAGTTGTGTTATCCTTCACTGGTTTGTCTTTGATGATTTTTGTCGTTAGTTACTTTTTACTTTATTGTAATTAAGAGCATACAGTATCAGGAACGGATTGACGGGCAAAGCAGCATATTATTGGAAGTTGTAGGTGAAAAGTGGTCGAACGTAAAGAGAAAAAGTGAAGAAAACGCCCAACTGGGGCCTAGACAGGGACATGCCCTGCCGTTTGGGGAGACGTGTGTTGGACGAGTTGTCCGAACCTGCCCGTAGTACATGCGCTTTAATGAACTGCTGGCAATAGCTGCATGCTTGCAAATACATAACTACTTGCCAGCAATCGAAATTGAAGCGCTTCAATTGCGTTCTTATGGAATCGACCTCATACAGCGCGGCGGTCCCGCAACGATCGCTAGTCAAGCGCGGACTCTGCACAGCGTATGTTGGGCGATCCGCCTCTTTATGGGTGATCCGCCCCCTCCAAGAGGACTTCGACCCCTTCCAGCGCATTTTAGAGGTAGGTTTTGAAATTAAAGACATTTCCTATAAACTTTAGTTGGGCTGGGGCATGTTTTGACCGCCTAATGACCAAGTAGTTGAAACCCTGCCTGGACTGTTGCTTTAAGTGTTTGGTGTTTAGTTCTCTGGTAACAATGTTGCGTACCATTGCACAGAGCGACTGGCAGGAGCGGCTGCGCGTTGCGTAAGTGGATTAAGCTGAAAATTTTGTTTCGTTTTCAGGCTTGCTGTCGCATGCTAATCTGGTAGCGCGTCTTTTTATCGCTCTACTCTCTATTACCGCTTAGTCTTGCTTTTTAAGTACAGCCATTATAGGGGGGGGTGAGCTTTTACCAGCGTTTTCGACCAGTTCTTTTCCTTTTTTTCATGCTGGCCATTCGCTGCATGCGCGAGCACACCAATGTAATCTGGGACCATGCCTTTGATACGTGCCATGCTTGCTAGGCGGCAACACCTAACCTTGGACGATGACGGACAGGCTTCACACTTTGATGTCGAGGTAGTTCCGATAAAGTATGTTCTGCTTTAGTGAAGTTGATGTTCAATGGTTCTATTTATTTCACATCGAATGGTTCTTTCTGCAATATGATTAGTTATACTGAATGATTAGGGAAATCGATAGCAAACGAATGCATTAAACGTCGCTCAGGGCATATGTGGCCTTTGTGAGGGGTCTCGAAGAGCGCACCGCGAACACTTGGAACAGAAAGGTTTTACACGTTCCTCACTATTATTATTGTTACTATCTGAGCGACCTCGAGAAAAACGTGGGGACCGAGTACGCGCCGTTGCTACATCTAGTGCGCCCGAATGAACAAGTATCAGGAGAGAATAGGTAGAACGGTAGCAGTTCTGAGAGCGCATGAAATAGTGAGTCATAAGCGGCCGTGGAACTGCGCCGAAATGGGGTTGGATAGAAATGTATTTCTGTTTAAAAGGGTACATATCAGATGGTCGATTAAACTTAAGACGTATTAGTGGGTTGACTGACTAATTCTATGGAAACATCAGAAATGACCCCAATCGTACTGCATGTTGCGATGATCAATTTCATACTGATTGACAACTTCTTCGGCGATACCTTGTTGAAGCCATAGCTGCCGCAACTTGTGGTAGAGCTCCTCGTTGAGGTGTAGGGGATTACCTCTTCTACAAAAAGGAAGCACTAGTGAATATCACCGTAGAATGGAGTGGGAGGGCAGGAGGGATTACTTGTGGTTGGCTTGATCGGTTGCGCAACGCGTCCCCGTCGTACGGCGACGGATCGGAAACAGCCGTTTCGTTGTTGTAGGCGCAATATAGCACGTCTCCGAGTCTTAACAATTATGTTTTCTATCGACTGTCTGAAGGATGTAACTTAATGCATCTCCGCGTGTTTGGGGAGGATGCGCGAATAAACTCAGGAAAGGGACAACTCCCATGGGGTCAGAGCAGATGAGGAGATGATGTTCTACCGCTCCTGTTACGGTTCTTTACCAATCTCAGAGGAAACTCTCAATTCAGGATTGATTGCGGGTTCTATCTTTTCTTTAGTACAAGGCATACAGCTGTACATGCTTTTTAGCGTTTTTGACAACAATAGCTTTGAGAGCATAGAATTTGACCACATACGAGACACATTGTTGGGACGTTGGCTGCATTCTCATCCAGTGGAATAGGACGGACATCTGAAGTTTCAGCTGAGATAGAAGGAACCAAAAAGTTGTCAAAAAGTTTGCACAACATTACTTGAAAGCTGAAGCCAGATGGATGACTTCACTGAAGTCGTAAGGAAGGTCTACCAGTTGTGTTGCTCGGATAGGTTGACGTACGATTGAATGTGGAAAAACAGGCATAGCAGCAGACCACCTGAATAGTTTTCTTTGTGAGTGTCCTATGAAAAAGCGCCTTCGTTCGCTCACTCACATGTCAAACAGCTGCTCTATGGCCAAGCCGTCAAGAAGTTCAGTAAGATGAGATGGGAGGCCCATGTATCGACACAGCGGCTCAAATTCGTCAACAGATGGATCTTAATCAAGCATCGTATAGGATTCCCACAGAACTCGAAACGATCTCTCTACAAATACAATAATCGTACCTTTCAGAGCTTCTGGAGGATTGACCAAAGTGAGAGCGTGATAGAAAAGAGCCAGCGGGCGCAAGAGTGACAGCGTTGCTTCGACGAGTGTCTAAAATAGATTAATGAGATCTAAATAACAGGTAATTCAAGCAAGAAAACTACTTACTGAACGAAGACGTGCCACATCACTGAGATGAGCATCGGAAGGCCTCACAATGGACCACAGCAGCTGCAAACGTGTCGTCAGCATCTCGTCGACTTTGTCATTGCCATCCGCATCCGACATTTCACTGTCTTCAAATGTCGCGAAGACCTACAAAAAACGCTGGTACTTATGAATGCATAAAATGTGGATGCATATGCCTGAAAGATAGTGGCGCATAAAACTTTGAGTGCGTCTCCTGAACTCATAAAGCCTGGGAATACCCAGCTTCCACGAGGAAACAACATTGTTGCGCTATAGAATCGCTTTTCACAGGGCTAGCGTGGCACAATAGGCGACACATTTTAAACATTTAAAATTTAACTCGTACAATGATTATGTGACTGAAATAAAGCAGGGGATCTTAATTCCACCGTTGATGTTCCAAAAGCTCTTATGCACCAGTTCTCCAAAAAATCAGCCTGATATCTCGAGCTCAACATCTACAGTGCCCATGTAAACACTTTCATCTCGAAAGAACTTAGAACCCTTTTGCTATTGGTCATCTCAGATCTGTCCTACGAATCAGAATTCCACGAATCGTTCAAACAAAAACAAGTAAAACGTGCACACTGTGGCGAAAAATGTATGACTTTTCAAACGGTGTGGACCAGTATAGATGGGTAACAAATTCGAATGTACCTGGAAGAAAAGTCCATTGAGGCAGAGTCGCAAGACATGCAGCTCATCTTGAGAGCCATCTGGAAGCATCTCTCGAAGTTGCCTTGTGTCTTCAGTGACTGCACACCATCATGCCAGGTCCATCCAATCGACATCATCAGTGATATCTGGGTGAAGATTTTTGTAGACTAAAACCATAAAGAGGGAGTCTAGCCCGCAATTTGATGCCGTCCAGAACAAATTTAATTCTGTCCAAAAAGAACAAAATACTTACAGCAAGACTCAACATGTCGACATGGAGCAGGTTGACATTGACATCCTTCTTACTAGAAAATAGCTGCGCAAATGTGGATGACAGTAGTTTAGCTGGAGAATCTGCTGACGAAGACAATGGGCTGAAAACACATAGCATATTCATTTAGTCTTACAGGGAAATCGTGGCGCCAACAATATTGACACTCTTCTGAATGGTGTAAACGTACGCACTCTTCTACACACACCCTACTGTTGGCAGTCGCATTTGTAAGGATTGAAAAATTCAAAAGCATTTTAGTATAGTAGAATATCGCGGACTTTTCGTCACAGTTACCAGATTTATTGCATTATAAAAAGGCGAACTATCCTGAACATGGAAAAGGATGGTGTACCATGAAGTGAGGCTGATCACTGCGAGTACGGTCCACGACAAGTCTGGGAAGCAAAAATAGCCGCATAATGGTTGATCCGCGCAAAACAGGGTATAGGGCAATTTACATTCGAATGTCTCTACGATTCTCAAAAGGAGTTAATTACCCCAAAAAGGGGTAACACACGCTGACCATCGCATGTTCTGGGGATCTTCGGCAACTTCAACAGATGTCATGATCTTCGCTTTTATGTTCAGCAATAAAAAAAAACTCAGTAGCCATGAGTCTGAATTTTTATGGTTAGCTACGGGACACAACAGGTTGTCATGATAAAAAGCGCATAATTATTCGTTCGTCAAAGCTGTTAACAAAATTGAGATCTCATTAATACCTGGCATTTGTGAAGCTGTGCACGGGGCTGGTAGCGGTGTGATATTCCGGTGATCGTGGACTGACTGGGGCAGCACCGGAACTTGTCGCTAGTGGAGGTGGTGAAAGCAGAACCCGCAGCATGTTTGCGATGAAGTCCGGTAGAAGCTGGATGCAGAAGGAAAGCACTGCTGAGAGACGAGCCATTGCAAGGAGACAGTCACGCTGTAAATTTCTTTATACAGAGTGGCTTTAACATTTTACTTCAACTTCAGTAATTGTAAAATGATATGCAAGGAGTCAGTACTTATTTCGTAAAAAAATAAATATTTCGAGGAAAATTATTTCGTAAGAAATATTTCGGCGAAAAGGTCTGTGAGTAAATATGTATGCGAGGGCACGGTTCAAGCTCATCGGGTGCCTCGGACGCGTGGACGGAATGTTTCTGAAAAGGTTGGTCGGGATCCTGCGTAGTGGAGAACTTTTACTATCTCCAAGAAGCGTATCCGTCCCCAGTGAGCCGATTTCAAGAATATCAGCGGCAGAGCGACTACGGTCTCCTGACGAGACGGAATGATGTATTTGGTCTGAGGACGGCAAGGTAAATGAAGGAGAGCCTCGTTTTACTTATGGGGCGAAATTTGAGGAGAGCTTTGCCATAAAACTTCAATCAACGACGGCACTTCTGCGACAAAGTTCGGTGATGTGTGTCACGGAAGAAAGACTCTTTTTGGCGACTCTGTACATTTCAAATAATGGAATTTAGTAAGGGCAAAAAGCAGTAAACCCTTATTTCAACAGAAATAATGGAAATAAACCCAGTTATGGAATGGAGGCTCATGGTTTCTGTAGCCTAATAAAATACCACTGCTACGAGAAAAAAAAGCGTTACTTTCTGCGCTTTCCAGATGAAAGAAAAGAGATATAGATCGAGCGTTTTATCAAAGACGAAATTGCAACATCTGGACCCTTTCATCAATAACACAGCTTGTGGGACCGTTTTTATTAATGTATTCCAATATTGTCCATCCTATTCGTGCAACCTACCTCAAACCCCCTCTTTTTTTTGGCTTATCTGTATCATTTGTCAAAGCTTGCACCATTGACAGTGCACAAATCATTCATTGACGTTTACGTATCCCAGTTTGAGTTGTGCTCGCCTATTAATTTGAGCCGTAGCTCTGCGTGAGGAGACCTTTATACACACGTGACAGTAAGCAGTTTTACTGGCCTTATTGAAACCGAGAGCATTTTGAAGAACTAACCTGACGTGTGTTCATGGCGCAGAAGAGAGGTTTTCGCTCATAAGCTAGCACAGCGGCCGTTGTCCTAGCCACATGAGCAGCACTTTTCCAAACAGCTAGTGCAGCTGGTGGACTGTGGACATCGTCGTGAGCGTCACGAGCTTTTATCTCATCGGCACCTCGCATCCGTCCCTAAATTATTCTGTATCGAGCACGTCACAAAACTGAATATTACGAATAGCTCAAATCCCATAACCACACTGGGTAGGAAATCGGACCTGAGCACACAAAGTTATGACGAATCCCTTGAAAAACAACATGAAAAAAGAGGAAAATTATTCGAGTATAGCAATCTATCTAGTTGGTGTGACTGACCTTATGAATCAACATGCTGCTGAACACTTTCACCATTTCTTCGTAACGCTCATACGACGGACCAACGCTAAAAATAAATACAAGCTTTCATGAACGGTCCACAACAAAAAGAACAATCCTGTCAAGTAAGTACATTTTTCGTAGGAGCTTCAACAGTACAGCAACTCCTGCAGCTGGCAAGCCTTTGATTATGCCTCCCAGAAAACCGAATCGTGCACCAGAACTATCGCTTCGTCTTTCTCGTCGCTGAGCCGTCAAATCTGATGACGAGGCAGTCTCGAATGCTGGTGAGATCGGCTAAATTCATTTGCAGTAAGAGTAGCAACAATGGGTACAAATAAAAACCGACGAATGGAACCGCGACGATACCTCATCCGCTCTAACGTCTGAATTTTGAACACGCATGATCTCTGTCATCTCACGGAATAGATCCACAGCTCTCTGAGGATCCTTCCTCGACGTCGACTTCTTAATAAAAAAAAGTTCACGAGAAATTCGAGAATTATATGAACCTTCGGAGTCAAGGACATAATATGACAAAAGAGTGAAGCATGAAAAAAGTTTGAAAAGTAATGAATTCTCGAAGTGTTTGGGCAACACTTACCCATTGCATTGCATGAAGTGCTTGAAGCGGCTTGAGACACCATCCGAGCTGAAGCATTTTGGCCCAACAACAACGACATAGTCGAAGCAGATGGCACTGACGTT